CAGTGCCAGTTCTAGCGCCTGGCGTGCCAGAAATTGCGTATGTGGAGCCTTCTGTCCCTCCAGCAGTCGTCACTGTGCCGCCCCACGAGATCCCAGAACTCGCACCTATCCCTTGGTTCCTGGAAGATGGGGAAATGCAAAGGTTGAGGGCTCGGCGGAGCCTCTTTAGCAGTCTGGTAGACGTTGCGACCAGGATGGTAGATGAATTACCGGGCAATGAGGCACAAAGGATTGTTAAGGCATTGAAGAAGAAGTTGCAAACGGCTGAAAAGGCAGAAAGGGAATACGATATTTCAGAGGGCCGCCGCGATCCGAATCTTCCAAGCATTCGGAAGACGGCCATCGATGTAATAAGCTCATCCATTGAGGGATCCCGCGATGGTCTACTGCAGCTGGTAAATATGGCAAAAGCGCACGGTGAGCAAGTGTTTATGCACTGTTCTGAGAGGCTTTTTTTTACGAATGTCGAGCGCTTCCGGAAGCCCCTGGAGAAATGCTGGGATAGCGAACCGGTTAAGGCTTCTATAGGTACTCTGGGTTTCCTGGCAAATACCTCTATAACTCTGAAACAGGAGAATGAGGACCAGCTTAGGATCTTGAGGTCAGCACAATTCGTAGACGAGTACAAACCACATGCTTTCGTGGATATTTACGCAGCCATTGCTGCCATGAACTTCAAGAAGAGAACGTTGGACCGCTTGGCTGCGCTGGACAAAGCACTGAAAGAAGATATTCTAGTGTTCCAAAAGGTGTGGATGAAGGGGATGCTTCAGCTCGACCGGATACCGCTGGAGGTGGATGCAAATTTTATTCAGGAACTAAATTTACTATTGTCAAGGAGTCGTCGAGCACCTGTGGGGCAGTCACCTTCTGGAATAACGAACATAGATATGCAATCCATCAGAGAGATGTTTGCTCAGCAACATGAGGATGTGCAAGCTCTCGAGACTGCGCAGGACTACGAGGGTGTTTCCGCTGCGTACGAACGAGCGAAGCTGTTCAACGAAAAGCTCAAATACTTATTGGATGTGCAAAAGAACAAGTTGCATGCAACCCTGGAGCGCCAGCCGCTCACCAAGGAAGAGGCGAACGCTGCGGCTGAGGCGATGACGAGATTTGCTGAAACTGCCCTCGACGAAGGCGAAGATTGTTGGCGTTACTTGCAGATTGTGAATTCAGAGATTAGCGGGAAATATGAAGAGGGGCCCGGCGTATCTACTGGCAAGGCGTTGTTGCAAATGCTGACAACCAAGAAAAAGGCCGGCACTGCTGAGTCAGGAGAGGCTGTTATAAACCCTGACAGCGCTGTCGCGACTGGTGTGAAGCAGTATTTTTCCGAGCTGTGGCGCCACATAGACACTACGGCGAGGGACCACTGGATAAGGGCGCAGGATATGCTCGAGAAGGTGAAGAAAGGGGCAAAGTACAAACTCGATAAGGAGGGATTTGGATCCACTGCACTGGATGCGAAGACGAACCTGAGGGTGGAGATAGCGAGGACGAGAACAGAGGGAGCAATTCCCTCGACGCTACTGCGATATTTTAGTAGATTAGTAAAGGAACTTGAGTCGTATGATGATACGGTAAAGGCTGTATTCGTGTTTCCACTCCAGCAAGAAGCACCGGAGTGGCGTCAGATAGGAATTCTGAAGGAGAAGTTTGACTTTGAAAAGGCACTCGCCAGGGACAGTCAAAGCTCTGCCGCGGTGCCGGGACATGCAGATACAATTCTGCAGACGTGCTTGCAAATCCGGACGCTGTTCGAATCAGCGAGGTCGGCTCAGCTTAAACAGGCAATGGAGAAGCCGTACGCTGTTCTTCATGGTGCAGAACAGGGTTAGAACAGGCTTCAGAAAACTCGAGAGGCGCTGACGCAACTTTTCTGATATATCCGTCCTAATCAGTGAAAGAGTGGTGCTTTGTGACAGGTCAGGCAGTGGTGTATGCGTATGAGCATTGGCTTTGAGTGCAACATTATAAGCAATATTCAATATGGGTCTGAACCTGCTGTGCACTGGCGAATTACGCGCTCCTTTTGGCGTCTCTTAGTAAGAGTTTTCGGCTGTCGACAACGCTTCTCTTCAGGCACTTTTTGCGCCGATGTGGATTTGGTCCCACAGCAGCACTGCGCCGTCGCGCGAGCCATGTGTAGCTGTTTATTATTAGAGTTCTCGGTGCCTTTTGTTTGCGCAGTTCACATTTCGTCGCTTTTTCCGCTCAAACGGCCGAGTGGATTTACGAGTCCGGCGCTGCTCCATTGCAGTTTTTGCAGTGTTGGCAGAATGCTACCGTTTTGTCCTAACTTTTTCTATGGATGGCTTTCTCGCTGCAGTATGTGGGCGTTGAATAAGCTCACTGCGGCTGACGCGTAAATGCATACCCAGGTACTCGCATGCTTGAAGGAGGAAGGCTATGCTACCCGCTGCAGCAGATGCCGTTGTGTATCTATCGCCTTTTGCTGCTGTTGCTACTGCTTGCGGCTGTCTGTGTTTACACCGCGCTGCAGCAGCAGCTCACTCGTGCCTTCGTTCCTACGGCAGGTCGTTGCCCCCTAATACCTCCGCAGCCATTTCAAAGGGGAAGGGCCTTCTGCAGCAGCACCAGCAGCACCAGCAGCAGTATCACCACCTCAATCGGGAGCGCCTTCCCCTTCCGCCCTTCTGCTATGGAGGGGTAGCGAGTCGGCCTCCCTGCCGCTCGGTCAGTCTAGCCTTGCTTCTGCCCAGCGAGCAGCAGCATCAACAACAACAGCAGCAGCAGAAGCAGCTATTGCAACACCTTTGAGGGGCCCTTTGGCGGCTCTTTATGTGTTTTGCCTTCTTGCTGTGGGTCGCACACCTTCCTGCGCCTGCTGCTGCTCCTACAACTGCTGCTGCTGCTACAACTGCTGCTGCTGCTGCTGCTTCTTAGGAGACATGGGGTGGCCTTCGTTGCAGCATCAGGTCCAGACCTTGGGGCCTCTTCAGCAGCACAATAAGTCCTCGATGCGGGACTGCAATCTCCACTGCTGCCTTAGGGTCCCAGCACACGCAGAGTCACAGGGCTCCCCCACAGCAACAGAGGACCCCCAAGGGCGTATAGGGAGCCTCCAATGGTGCAAAGGGGGACCCCAAATGCCACAGGGAACAACCCAACGCCATAGGGGTACAGAGGGGCCCCCAATGGCAGAGGGTGGCCCCCCGGCGCGCCGTAGGGGCCGCTAAATGATGAGGGGTGCCACCAAAGGCATTTGAGGTCCTTAAGAGATCTTGGAGGGAGCCATCAGGGGTCCCTTAAGCACTACTCGATCCGAAAACCAAGATGGCACTCCTATAACCAGTCGGCTAGGGTCATGCGCTTAGGGTCTAGGGTTTATGGGGGTGCTCGCCGGTGACACCGTAGGAGGTGAAGGAAGAAATAAGACGACGACAAGCGAATCAGCGTCAGCATTTTTCTTCTTTTTCTTTTTTATTTGTCTCCTTTCTTCTTGTTTGTCTCTTTCCTCTTGTGTGTCTCTTTCTTCTTGTTTGTCTATTTTCGTGTGTCTCTTTCCTTTTGTTTGCCTTCATACTACTGTCCCCTCTCCTAAGCTGCTTCTGCAGTCTCCACTGCTGCTGCTGGACCTATTGCTACTGTTGTTGCTGCTGCTGTTGCCTGTTGCTGCAGCAGCTGTTGCTGCTGCTGTTGCCTGTTGCTGCAGCAGCTGCTGCCGCTGCTGTTTTTGCTGTTGCTATTTCTGTTGCTGCTGCTGCTATTGTTAATGCTGCTGTTACTGCTGCTGCTGGTCGTGCTGCTGCCGCGTTATGTATTCCTGCTGCTCGTCGTTTACAGAATGACTCTCTTAGGATTGCGTTGATTGGCGAAACGTAGCCTCAGAAACTGCGCCAGCGAGCAAATTGTGTAGCATGTCAAGTCCAGGTTGGCTCCTACAAGTGACTCCCTACCTGGCTACAATAGATAAATCCTGGTGCCTATGCAGTGAGCTACTGGCTCATCCATTATAAGTACATCATACCTTATTCTTAAGGAACTCAGTTCTCTTGAAAGAAAATATCTCCCTGTGTCTGTCGGTACGTGGACAACCATGGTGCCGTTTGTGCCTGTGCTAGTGCAGCGCGGCGTAGTACAATGGGTTGGTAGTACAAGTTGTCCTATAGAGACAGCGGCAATATTAGTAAGTAACACGAAGATGAATGATATTGCGCATAGAGAC